GAGCAACAACAGTGTAGTGGGGAAGTGGGGAAAAGGAATCTTACTGCACTGTTGGTGGGAATGTAAACTAGTGCAAACACTCTGGAAGGTGGTTTGGATTTTCCTCAACAAAAACAAAAAAAATCAGAACACCCCTATAACTAGTCCTAGCACTCTTGGGCATCTGCTCAGAATACTTCAGGTCAATGACACTTGATCATCCATGTTTATTGCTGCACTATTCACAATAGCCAAGTTACAGAAACAACGGATGCCCTACAACAGAAGAATAGATCAATAAATGCATATATGCACAGTAGAATTTATTAGTAATCTATTAGAAGGAATAAGATTATGTCATTTGCATGGAGATGGATAGATTACAGTCATGTACCACTATGCTCAGCTGTGTTGTTACTTTGGGGCAGGAGGCACCTAGGGGCTTAAACTTATCAGGCCTGAGCACTGTCTCTGAGCCTCTTTGTGATCAAGACTAGCAGTGCTCTACCACTTGAACCACAGTGCCACTTCTGGCCTTTTCTGAGTAGTTGATTGGAGATAAAGAGTCTCATGGACTTTTCTGCCTGGGCAGGCTTTGAACTGCAATCTTCAGATCTTTGCCTCCTGAGTAGCTAAGTACCTGAGCCACCAGTACCTGGCTTGGCTTCTTTTTCATACATAGATCCTATATGGCGAACTTTGCCAACACTTGGGGATACATACTATCCGTCCAAGTGGCCCGACTCACAAGTGAATACATCTTCTGTGCTCCAACTGGATTCTTGGCGAGGTCATGCACCCAGGGGAAGTTGTCCCAGCTAACCGTTTGCTCTGTTGCTGTCACTGGACACCTTTACCTTTCACTGACATGCCTCCGTGATTAGTCTTCTCTCCCCTGAGTCCCCAGCTGGGGACTCACAGTACTACTGTAGCTATAAGCAAAAAGTATAGTTTGCTGCTCTTCTGGTTCAAAACATCATTTTATGTAGTTGTAGGTTTTTGGAAGTGGGAGTTTACTGGTGTTTCAGGCCAGAATCTCAGAATTCTAACTGCAGTTACTTTGTCGTTGAGCCATGCCTCTAGCCTGGCCCTTTTTTGTGCTGGATTTTGTTTTTGGCGGGGGAGGTCCAGTCATGGAGCCTGAACTCTGGGCCTCGGCGCTGTCCCTCAGCTCTTCAGCTCAAGGCGAGCGCTCTACCACTTGAGCCATAACACCACTTCTGGCTTTTTTCTTTTTGCTTATGTGGTGCTGAGGAATTGAACCCAGGGCCTCATGCGTGCAAGGCAAGCACTCTACCACTGAGCCACCTTCCCAGCCCTGTGCTGGATATTTTAAAGGTAGAATCTTGTTTCCTGCCTGGGTATGTGCCTGAGCCATAACTCTCCTATTTTAGGTCTCAAACGGCAGTTCTCCTGAATTTGGCCTAAGAGTTATGCTGATTTTAATGAGAACATATATGCTAAATGAAGCCTTGTGTTTTTAAGAAATATTTTGGAGGCTCTTGACATTTACTATCTCCTAGAAGTAACTATCTGTTGAAGGTATTTTTCTTATTTAGAGGGGAAAGACTTAAACACTTGGAAGACCTGGGCCCTTGTCCCTCCCCTGCCCTCCCCTCGCTGCCCTTCCCCTCCCCTGTTTGTTTCTGATGTTTGGACTCTGGGGCCCCTGCTTGCTCCACAGGTGCTCTATCACTTGAGCCACTACTCCAAACCAGCTTTTCACTGGTTATTTTGGAGATTGAGTCTAGAAAAGTCCTTTTCTGGTGCTACCAAGTCTCCAGGTGTCAGTGTCTGGAATAGTTACCCTTATTTTTAGTAGTCCTTCAGGCTATCTCTGGCAGCTTTTAGAACTCACTGCAGGAGCATAAGCCCAGTACTGTACTTGTCTTCGCAAAATACACAGGTTGTGCGGGTGTCGGTGGGGAAGCCACAAGGCTCTTCTCTGTGCTAAGGGCAGAGTGAGTTGCTCAGGACAGTGCACTTGTTCTGGGAGTTATCTACTGGTTTGCTGCCATGAGTCTCCTCTCCCAATTTTTCACTTGGAATGTATGTGAAATTGGAGCCTGTCAGTTGGATGGGTTATGGTTAAATGGGTGTGGGTTTATGCTAGTTGGTTTTATTTTTGAAGATCTCAAGGCTTTCTAAAGAAATCATATGATTTTACTCAGTCAGTTTGCAAATGCTACAGTATAATCTTCCTCTTTTAGGACTTAGTGGAAATAGGAATCACCTAATTATTTTGCTGTATTTTTTCTATAATTTAAAACAATATGATTCTGAATTTTTAAAATTTCCTTGGAAAATACCATTACTAGTATAGTTGTGTTAATATAATAAGACTACTGTGATTACTTGGTGTGTGTGTGTGTGTGTGTGTGTGTGTGTGTGTGTGTGTGTGTGTGTGTGTGTGACTCGTGGGGCTTGAACTCGACCTAGGCGCTGTCCCTAAGCTCTTCAGCTCTAGGCTAGTGCTCTACACTTGAGCCACAACACTACTTCCTGTTTTCTGATGGTTAATTGAAGATAAGAGTCTCATGGACATTCCTGTCTGGGCTGAGTAGCTACGATTACAGACGTGAGCTGCCAGCACCTGGCTCTCATTACTCTTTTGATATTAGACTTAGGGCTTGCCTTTACATTTATACATTTTGGTGGAAAAATACTTGCTGGATGAAAATAGCTTTTTTTTTTCGTCAGTCATGGGATCTGAACTCTGGTCTACCACAGTGGAGCCACAGCACCACTTCTGGCCTTTTCTGCTTATGTGGTGCTGAGGAATCAAACCCAGGGCCTCATGCATGCGAGGCAAGCACTCTACCACTGAGCCACCTTCCCAGCCTGAAAATAGCCTTTTAGTTACCTTTTTACCTTTAATAAAATTCCTATTGGTGAGTTATAAAAATAAATTATTTTAGTCAGAAAACAGAAGTGTGATTACTTGTAGAATTAAGGGACCAGGGACAGGTGTGCTGTTGTTTGCTGCTGCTCTCTCTCTCTCTGTGGTTAACAGGAGAAACCAGAGCATGCTGATCGGTGGCCCCTGTGGCCCTCTGCGGTTTCAGGGACTACAGGAATGCTATTGTGTGCACCAGGCCATGCCTGCGTTTGCCAGTGCCGCAGGCCTTTCAGCACACTTCCCATCCAGGCAGAAGCCTTTAGGTTGAACCTTACAGTGTTTTGCTTCTTAATGAAAACTTGCTGCATATATAGTAAGTCTGATGTTCCATATACTTTTAAAAGGTAGATGTATAACTGACCTACTATACGCAGGTTTGGCATTTGTGGAATTAATAAAATTGAAAATACTTAAGCAATTGCACCCATATCCTTCATTCTTCTCATGATACCTTAAACAATGTAACACATTTACCTAGCATTTCATTACAAGTTATCTAGAGATGACATAAAGTATATGGAGGATGTGCCTAGGTTTTATGCAGATAATACAGCATTTTTTGGGGGGGGGGGGGTCCGGTCATGGGGCCTGAACTCTGGGCCTGGGCGCTGTCCCTCAGCTCTTCAGCTCAAGGCGAGCGCTCTGCCACTTGAGCCACAGCGCCACTTCCGGCTTTTTTCTTTTTGCTTATGTGGTGCTGAGGAATCGAACCCAGGGCCTCATGCATGCAAGGCGAGCGCTCTACCACTGAGCCACCTTCCCAGCCCAGTACAGCATTTTTCAGGGACTTGAGCACTCCAGGTTTTTGTGTTTTTCTGTGGGATACTGAACCAGTCCCTCTTCCACTCGCATACGCAACAGTGGTTATATTCAACACATTTCTCAGACTTTCACTGTGTTGTCTTTTGAATTTTGGCAATATTGACACATCTATCTGTAGCTTAATAGCTAATAAAGAAATTACAGCCAAGCATCATTGGCTCATGCTTGTAATCCTAGCTCTCAGGAGGCTGAGATCTGAAAATCACAGTTTGAAGCCAGTCCAGACAGGAAAGTCCATGAGACTCTTGTCTCCAGTTAACCATCAGAAAGCCAGAAGTGCATTTGTGGCTCAAGCAGTAGAATGTTAGCCCTGAGCAGCCCAGGCCCCAAGTTCAAGCCCCTACCAGTAATGCATGCGTGCATGCAGGTGCTTGCAGAAATTATGCTTAGGTGTCACTGTGCAAAGGGGACCTACATGCTGTGAGGAATGCTCTGGAAGGGAGCCCTCCCTGCCTGCTCAACAAGGTCTTCCCTGCAGTTTTTCCCACTTGGGTATGCTACATGCATGAGCTGCCTGCCTGTATCTGCCTTCTGAAATGTCATTGTTGCATGCACGGTGACACTCGGGTTACGCCGGTCCTACCTGTGTAGCCCATATCTCAGCCACATGTGTTCATCCCATTTAAGATGTGTAGACTTTCAATTGTCCTCTTCCTGAGTCATGTTGGAAAGAATTCAAACTCATGGTGGAAGGATCATACTTCTGAATTGAAGTTAGGTGAAACATATTGGTCTAAGGCTTACTGTCTTTGCGAATGTACCCTAGTAGACAGTGGGGTGGCTTAATGGGCATTGTCATTTTGGGGATCTTGAGCACCTTCAGAAATGGTGCTCAGGTGGTGTCAAGGTGGGAGGGAGACTGATAGGTATGTGACGAGAATTTTATGGAGGAGCTGGGCACCAGTGGTTCACACCTGTAAGCCTAGCTACTCAGGAGGCTTTGATCTGAGCATCTCAGTTTGAAGCCAGCCTGGGCAGGAGAGTCCATGAACAGTAGGAGCAGTGAGCCTAGGCCTGGGGCTCTTGTCTAGATTAGGCGGTCAGGTCACTCCTGGTCATCAGAAAACCAGGGTGGAACCTTTCCTCAGCCTAGACTTAGGACCATTTCCCAGGAGAGAGTGTTGAGAGTGGACGGTGCCCTAAAGCAACTTATCGGATGTGAGCCCTTTAAATTCCAGGTCCACCAAGACAAGGTTGTGCTTGTTACAGTGTGGTTAGTCAGATGGAGGGGACACCAAGATTGAAAGGAGCTGAGGTGGAGATTCATGCTCACCGGATCTGCCTTTCTTTCTCCTTTCAGAACAAGCATCCGGCTGGAGTTAGCATAGCATCCTCAGCAGCTCTGACTTCCCACCATGGAATCGGTAAGTGCTGTTTCACTGTGTTATCATTGATTTGTGCTTCATTGGTGGTGGTTGGTGAATGGCTCTCTCCCCTTCTTTCCTCCCAGCCTCTTCCTTCCCATTGGTTTCTTTTCCTTCCCTCCCTCCCTCCCCCCCCCTCCCTCCTTTCCTTCCCTCCCCCCTCCCCTCCCCTCCCCTCCCCTCCCTTCCTTTCCCTTTCCTTCCTCCCCTCCCCCCTCCCTCCCTTTCTCCCTTCCTTCCTTCCCCCCTTTCCTTCCCCCCTTCCTTCTTTCCTTCCTTCCTCCCCCCCCCCCCCCCCCCCCTTCCTTTCGTCTGTCGAAGGGCTTGAACTCGTCCTGGTCCCTGTCTGTCCCTGAGCTCTTCATCTCAAGGCAGCACTCTGCCACTTGAGCCATGGCTCCACTTCCATTTTCTCTGGTGGTTAATTGGAGGTAAGAGTCTCATGGACTTTTTGGCTGGGCTGGCTTTGAACCACAATCCTCAGATCTCAGCCTCCTGAGTAGTTAGGAGACAGACGTGAGCCAGTGGTTTCTAAGAGTGCCAGAGCAGTTCAGAAGTCTCCAGGTTGCTGTTAATAGGCTTAATGGAGTTTTACCCAGGGTTGCTTTGTGCATGTGTATGTGTGTGTGTGCTTGTGAGTGTGCCAGTCTTGGAACTTGAACTCAAGACCCTAAATGATGTCCTGAGATTTTTGCCCAAGGCTGGCACTCTTACTACTTGAGCCACAGCTCCACTTCTGTCTTGTTGGTTAATTGGAGATAAAAGTTGTGGACTTTCAAGTTTCAGCTAGCTTCAGATCTCAGCCTTCTCAGCAGTGTGAGCCACCAGCACCCAGCTCTCAGTGTTTTGACTTTTGTTCTAGATTTCATTAGGTGATACTCTAGTGAGTTTTCCAGTATCAGTGTAGTACCCCTTGTGTCATAATAACAGGAATGTAACTGAAGATATCCAAAGAAGCTTATTTTTTCTCAACTTTCTTCATCTGATTGTTACTCTTCCTAAATAGTCTAGAGATCCTAAAATTGCTGTATTTGTTTAGACTCTGTGCGTGTTGCGTTAACTGTTGAAGCTTTGCTTTGAGAGTGAGTAGGACAGGCCTTGAGGCTCTTCTGAGGCTCTTCTGGCCTGTGCTGTTGGACAGGGAGTTGTGGCAGGTTATTACTATTTATGTTGGTCTTAGAAGCTTGGAACCAGGTTCTGGGAAGCAGAGAATCCTTCATTAGTCGACCCTAGCTCTTTGCTTCCTCCTGGGAATGATTGGCACTTTTTTTTAAGAAGGGGCATCTGTCTATTACACAGGTCAGAGTCCTGTTAGGCATTATGGATGGCAGATTTTTTTAAGTTCTTCAATGAAATGACAACTGAAAGGAAAACTCATGACTTATTTTGGTTTTTCGTATCTTGCCTAGGTATTAATATTTGAAAGTAAGCAATACAAAAGTGTGTGTATTATCTATTTTTGTCTGTTACTCCTATCAGATGTGAAAGAAACCTTTCATGATACCTCCTCAGTGGATTTGCTGACTCTAAGGGTTCATTCTTTATCGCAGCTGCCATTAAGTAAGGCCACTTGGATATAAATGGACCTGGCTAGCCTTTTGGCCAGAACTGCCACCTTCCAGTGTTTTGCCAAACTGATGAACACAAAGGGAAAGAGGAGATATACTCCATACATGTTCTTTAGGCCCTTCAGGAAACATGTAGATGCTCATGTATGTGGCCAAAGGAATAACTTCAAGAAGGGCAATATTGTAGCCTTAAAGGGTACTGTCCAGAAAGGAATGCCCCACAGATGTTACCAGAGCAAAACCACAAAGGTTTACAGTGTTACCCAGCATGCTGTTAGCATTGTTGTGAACAAGCAATTGTTGGGCAAGATCCTTGCCAAGAGGATGAATGTGCATAGTGACCGTATTAAGCTAAGAGGCAAGATAACTTTCTGAAATGAGTGAAGGAAAATGACTGGAAAAAGAAGGAAGCCAAAGAGAAAGGGCCCTGGGTTCAACTGAAGCACTAGCCTGCTGCACCCACCAAAAGGAGCCCACTTGGTGAGAACCGATGGAAAGAAAGGAACTTGCATCATTGGCAACTCTTCCCTATGAGTTCCTGGCCTAAGAGATTTATGAAGTAAGACTGTTGGACTATAAAAATAAAATAAATGGACTGGCTGGTGTCTCACTTGACTGGAGCGTTGCTTGGCCATAGAGGATCCATCTTGGGTACCGTCCTGTGGGCCACTGTAGGCTGAGGCACGCAGGAGGACAGAGGCAGTGGGAACTGGGAAGCCACACCAGCCACCCACACCTGGGGTCTGAGCTGCGCCTCCGTTTGCAAAGTGTGCTGTGGACCTTAATTAGCAAAAAGACTGCTTATGTTAGTGTGAGAAATTTGGTTGTCGATAAGCATCTAGTAACTCAAAGCACGTTTCTCTGACTACAACAGCCATATCAGGACTTTCTGACAGTGTAGGATTGGCCTATGCATTTTGGAGCTCTGGCAGTGCAAGAGCAGTAGATGATATTGATAGGCAAAAGGTTTTTTATAACATGGCAGTTGTTGAAAATGATACGGCTTTTGGCCATACCAAAGTAATAGTATGCTTTACCTCCATTTGTTAGTTTTGTGAACTAATTGAGCATGAAGGTTTAAGTGATTGAAAGGGAAGTCTGTATTTCTGTGTAGAAGGTCTCTTGGGCACACAGTTCACAGTTGGAGTTGGGGGCAGTATGTTGTGAATGGGTTGGCAGGACCAGCATGCAGTACCCATGAAGGCTTTGCTTTGGTCTGCCCCATGATTTTAACTGGCCTTAAAATATGAGGGTTTATAGAATAGAACAGTTTTGCAGCTTCTCCAATAACCTTTTATTATTATTATTACTCTTTTTGTTATTCACGTTTTAGTCACTTATGGCAGAATATGAATGAGATGTGAGGCCATGCCTTCTGCTAGGTAGGCCAATACAGAGGATTCTGCTTGCCCTTTCCTCATGACAGAGAGCCTCTGTAGACCTCTCCACCCTGAGGTGAGTGGCTAGTGCAGCTCTGTTGATTCAGATGCTGGACAGTCGTGCTGCCCTGTGACCTTGGGCACATTCCCATGAAAATGGGAACATTCATCTTAAAGATTTCTGCTTGTAGAAGCAAGACTGTGAAAATATAAAGATTAATTAGATTGTGTGTGTGTGTGTGTGCGCGCGCACATGCATGTGCATGCAAAACCTTCCTCTAGGTGTCCTCCACCTTTGGTTTTGTATTGTTGGAGATGAAACCCAGGGCCTTGTGCATTCTAGGCAAGCACTCTACCACTAAGTGACACTCCAGCCTCTCGGTGAACTGCTGGCCCCCCACCCCCCACCACCCCAGCAGTGGCTTGAACTCAAGGCCTTGAGCTCTTGGATTTTTCACCATGGTGTAGAGCCTCCAGTCTAGCATTTTTGCTGGTTAATTGGAGATGGTGTCTCTCAGAATTTTCTGCCAGGTCTGGCTTTAAACCACAGTCTTCAGCTGTCAGCCCCCTAAATAGCTAATAGCTAAGTAGCTAGATTGCGGTGATCCATGTGCATGGATAGTAAATTTATGCCTACTGTGAAATGGGAATATGAATTATGTTTGCAAAAACATTTTAGTTTTTTTAAAAGTTATGAGCCATGATGATAAAGACAGTATTGTATGAAAGGAAGTTTCAATTTCATGTTATTTTTATTTTGTTTTAACTTTTTTGTGGTGCTGGGGATGGAGCTTAGGATTTATACTTGCCAGACAGGCGCTCTACAACCTGAGCTATACTTCAGCTCCTCGTGGTTTATTCTTATTCATTCATTTATTTTTAAGTAGTTGAACAGCAAAGCAATTTATAAGGGCAATGCATCCTGATCAGTGTCACCCCTTTGGCTTTTATTCCCCCCCATATACATATATATATATATGTGTGTGTGTATGCATGCATGTATGTATGTATGAATGTATGTATTTATTTTTTGTCAGACATGGGGCTTGAATTCTGGGCCTGGGTGTTGTCTGTCCCTGAGCTCTTCAGCTCAAGACAAGCGTTCTACCATTTGAGCCACAGCTCCACTCCTGGTTTTCTTGTAGTTTATTGGTGATAAGAGTCTCATGGACTTTCCTGCCTGGGCTGGCTTTGAACCGCGATTCTCAGATCTCATCCTCCTGAGTAGCTCGGATTACAGGCGTGAGCCACCAGTGCCCAGCATATCACTGTTCTTTAAACAAAAGTAACTGAGGCTTATGCTTGTAATCCTAGCTACTCAGGAGGCTGATTGCTGGTGGATCATGGTTTGAATCCAGCTTGAGCAGAACTAGTCTCTTATCAGAGTTGAGCAGGAGGCATGGCCCAAGTGGTAGAATGCCAGCTAAGCAAGTTCAGGTTCTGAGTTCAGAACCTGTGGGTGCTTTTTTAAATTACTGGGTAAATGTTTTAACTGATTCTTGTTACAAATTCTAGTTTCATCCTCAACCTCCCAAAAATAGCCAAAATGTTATTCTAATTAAATTAACAATAAATAATAAAAATATTTTCAAACCAATTCCCCAGTAGCTAGGATTACAGGTGTTAAGCCACTGGCACCCAGCAGATCCTTTCTTTTCCTTAGTGCTGGTACCAGAAATGAATTCAGGACCTTACACTCAACTTCTTCACTCACAGCTGGCTGGCCCTCTACTACTTGAGCTACACCACCAGCCTAACCTTTTTGCTGGTTAATTGATGATAAAGTCTCTTTGGCTTTTCTCCCCAGCCTGGCTTCTAACCTGGATCCAGAGATCTCAATCTCAGTAGCTAGATTTATAAGCTAGAATCATATGCTTCCCTCTCTTCTCCTCCTCTCTGGGGTTTACTGAGGCTTAAACTCTACCATGGAGCCACACCCCTGATGCAAAGTTTTTATGTTGTATTTAGTTGGGACTTTTGGCAAGTGTCAACATGCTAGTCCACCTGTGCAGCCCCCACATGTGAGGGGTAGGGTCTGGGACACTGACGCATG